TGAGCAGGTATACAAGCAAGCAGATGGTAAATACAATCTACAGAAGCCCTCTGCTTGCAGTTTCGGCATCCAGTGAGGCCAAAATCTCTGTCATGAGCCCAACACGACGGTGGGAACGGTACTTCTTAACTGCGAAGGCTGCTTGGTGAGCATCGAGTCCTTTCCTGTTCAAACTTCAGCGCTGCCACATGACCACTCGAAAGCATCGATAAACGTACCGGTAGGCATCCATATAACGCCAAGCTTTGCGGAAAAAACGGCGAATAGTCAAAACATCACACATGTCGAGACATTGCGGAACCAGTGTTTTTGCCGTCGAGAATTTCCCATCAGTGACATTTCGATAGCCTGTACCACGCGGGAATATCAATGGGTCAAAATCACGACAGTAAACCGAGAAAAAACTGACGGTACTTGGCATATCCCCAAAGCATCTCGATGGGGTTCAGTTCACAATGGAACTTCGGAAGAAAAAGGCAAACGTGCCCGCGACTCTCGATGTAATGCTGGATAAGTGGCTTTTCATTGACGAAATCATCTTGAAGTGAGAGTACGCGGTACATGCAGCACCAATTATTGTCTTCCGAGTCTGTTTCTGGCTCATCCTCTGCCTGTAGCTCACCTGTTTCAGGTGCTTCTTGTCCGAGTGCCTCCGCCAATGCGAGTCTCCGTTCTGCATCCTTTTTTGCCTGTGACTTCTGACAACGTTGACACTTCCCAACCACCTTCCCATTGTGCTGTTCCATCAGCACATCCCAAACTGATTGCCGTTCTTGAAGAACGACTTTCATTCCTTTTGGTCTCCCAGCCAACTCAGGGTCAGGATATGTTGCCGAGTATACCATTTGCTGTGGCATTCCACGCATGTCAGATTGTCCAGGTTTCGGAGGTGGATTATTGAGTGGGATAGTGGTATCACGTAGGTGGCTTTGCTTACCACCACCTTTCACATTCATGTTGTTCACGTTCAATGCATTTGGAGCAAGACCTTCATGAGCGGAAGAGCAGTCGAAAACAAAGACAGCAACCTTGTTCGGATGCAAGAACTCGAATATGTCGACAGCATGAATCGTTTGGGTCTGAAGCTGAGGAAGATCCCAATTTGCATCATGGTTTTTTCCTGGATAGATGATTTTTCGAGCATCCGTGACCTTGAGCTGTTGGTCAGGTGGAAGAGTAGCTTGTTGCGCGAGTTGTTCTTCTGACAAAGCGAGTCGGCCAGTTGTTTCGCAAATGAAATCAGAAACATGAATTGCACGACCATTCCCCTTCCTTTTCAAAGGCTGTTCATCACCACAAAGCCAAGAGCGACGTTGGTATTCATTCGTATGAAAAATTGACTCATCCTGGGTAACGAGGACATGCTCTTGCTCATCGGGAGTGAGGGATGGTGGGATGGGTGCGAGAGTTTCATTGTTGTATTTTGTCATCAATCTGGTATGAGATGTGGTAAGTGACACATATTCGACAGTCAGATAATGCTGACTTACCTCTCATATCCTGCTATTTTCTCAAGGAATATTTTCCGTGCCTCCACGACATCATCACGTTCATGTCCATCATGGTATACACCTTTCTGGACATTCTTGCAAGTGTATCCAAGTTTCTTCAGCCAGTTTTCTGCAGTACGTTCACTGATGTGGCTGTTCGGACCGGTTAAGCCAAGTGTAGGTGCAATAATTTCATTGACGTGGCGACACATGGCACTTGGAGTGATGGTACCCAGCTTCTGCATTGCAAGATACCTCTGCACATTATGAACAACTGCCTCGTTATCCAACAATGTGTATTGTCCACGGTGATTACTTTGCTTTGACGAAGGAAGACAGTGATGTTGCAGAAGGTAGAGTTCATTCCTGCGAATTTGACGTGCAAATCTTCCTCCCTCTCGTGCTCCAGTGCCCTTCTTTCCCTTACCCATCCGTCGTGCAATTGCAAGACTTGCACTCAAGCATGGAGTTTTACACTTTGGATGATGGCGATACTGCTCTCGGAGTTTGACATATTGTGTCACTGCGGTAAGTTGAGTAATCATCTTCAATGATTTCTTTGTCCGCAGGTTTTTGACTGTCCGAAGGCAGGCATCCGCAATCTTAAATATGTCCATATCCAGCGCAGTTTCGACATCATCATGATCATCCTTCAGCCACTCTTGGGCCATGGACGCCAGCAGACTCTCATGATGTATGTCATTCACGTCTTCTGATCCAAATGTCAGGTCCAAATTTTCCATTTCCAGCTCATCGCCATCGTGAATGGCCTTATGTGTACGTGGAATGAGCCTATTAAAGCAGCGAGATTATTTCATTGCTTACCTCAAGGTATTCATCTGGATCAAATTCTTCATTCCATGGAATTGATATGATACCGTTCAGCTCGTCTTGGAGTAATGACACGCTGTATTCCATTAGGTCAAAACCCATTTCCAGGGAATATTCGAGTGCTGGATCTTGCTGTATAGGCTCCACTTCCTTGGCAACAAACTGCTCCTTTTCAGACATGAGAGTCATATCTCTCTAATTAACTTGATGTAAGTCTCAGAAGTCACTTATGTTATCATCCGAACCTTCACAAAAAATGTGTCTATTGTCTTTGCTCCACTGGATGCTCTGTCCCATGAGGACTTCTTCCTCCATTGAGATGTCCGAGAGTTTCCCCGGTAAACAGCTGGCCTATTTACAATTTTCTGCTTCTTTCGCTGACACCAGGCTTGATGGTAAGCATTACTGATGTTCTATAGATAATAGAAATTCGGAGACATTCACCTGTGGTTCTCCATCAGACCCAGTTAAATTATTGTCCTTGGCTCGAAGATTTGCAGGTAAAAACATGCCATAGAGGCTCTGTAGGGCAACAATGGACCCAGATATATCATCTGCCTCAACCTCGCTCTCCCCACTAAAGCCAGGCTCATACTCTGAGTCTGACCCCTGTTCTGGTTGAGGTGATGGCAAAGAGCTGAATTTACGACAGTCGGCTCGTTGCTTCTTTGCTTGAGCAGCTTTCTTTGTCACAGGAGGCATATGGTAATATGAACAGGGTTTTGGGGAGATGAACAGGGTATATGGAGCATGGGGTAAATTTTTTCCGACGGAAAAATTTGAAACAAAATGGGAAATTTCGAAAAATTGCTTATTTTTGCTTGTTTCCTTGTAGAATTTTCATTGAGCAAAAAAATTCGTACAATTAAGCTCCCTATAGAGACGGCACTCTAGTGCTTCGTACACTGTAATAGTAATACTATTTACTCCGACGTGAGAAAAACATTTTAGCAAAAACCTTTGCTCTGGACCATCACACTGTCGACAACCAAGCAGGGCCAGACAGCATGCCTTCACCAGCAGAAGCAAGCACGTCGACCACACCACCAGAAACCTTCAAAGAACTGGGCCTCATAGATCCTTTACTGGAAGCCCTAGATAAGATTAACTTCACAAAACCTACTGAGATTCAGCAACAAGCACTTCCTCATGCATTAGAGGGTCGAGATATCATCGGCGTGGCAGAAACTGGATCAGGAAAAACTGCAGCGTTCGCTCTTCCCATCTTACAAAAACTTTGGGACGAGCCAAAAGGATTGTTTGCGTGCATTCTTGCACCGACTCGAGAACTTGCCTATCAGATAGCGCAGCAGTTCGAGAGTCTGGGTTCCGCCATGGGGGTACGATCCCTGGTTCTTGTCGGAGGAATGGATAGGATGCAACAAGCCGTTGGCCTTGCTAAACGACCTCACATCATAGTGGCAACTCCTGGTCGTTTAAACGATCATCTTCAGAACACGAAGGGGTTCAGCTTAAGAAGCCTGAAATTCTTGGTGTGTTTTCCCTAGCCCTTGTACCACAAACTTTTACAGTTACACAGGTTATGGATGAAGCAGACCGTCTTCTCGACATGGATTTCGGTCCTGAAATAGACCAGATTCTCAAAGTCATACCCAAGGAGCGCACAACGTATTTGTTCTCCGCTACCATGACCACAAAAGTTGCAAAGCTACAGCGAGCCAGTCTAGTAAACCCTATCCGGATCGAGGTTTCTTCAAAGTACGGGCAAATTGTCGGCATCCTGAGTTGTACTGAGATAATCCATGTAGATACCAGACTGTGTCTACCTTGCTGCAATACTATCTACTCGTCCCCTTGGTTCATAAAGATGTGCATCTCATATATCTTGCCAACCATCTTGCATCGAACTCCATCATAATCTTCACCCGGACAGTGCATGATGCCCAACGGTGGGTGGTGCATTACAAGTACTGTCATCCTCAGCTTATTTTTCCTATTACTCTATTCCAGACTGTCAATCATGTTGCGATCGCTTGGCTTTCCTGCAGTTCCATTGCACGGTCAACTGAGTCAAAGTCAACGCTTAGGCGCTCTAGGCAAATTCAAGAGCGGAGACCGCAAGTTGCTCGTGGCAACTGATGTAGCTAGCCGGTTTGTTCCTTATTTTTGATTCTATCTCTGCATTATTTTAAACGGTCTTGCATAGTGGTCTTGATCTGCCTTCCGTTGACATTGTCATCAACTTCGATATTCCGACCCATTCCAAGGACTATATTCACCGTGTTGGACGTACTGCGCGAGCAGGTCGATCTGGAAAATCGATTACAATGGTGACGCAATACGATGTGGAACTCATCCAACGAATAGAAAAGGTCATAGACAAGAAAATGGAACTTTGGCCAACAGACAAGGAAGAAGTAATGTTGCTGAAAGAACGTGTGGACGAGGCTGCCCGGTTGGCCATCAATGAGCTCAAAGAAGAAGCTAAAGCAGGTGGAAAGAAGCGCAGACGTGAGGATGGCGTCGGAAGGGACGAAAGAGATCGTGATGATGATGTCGTGGAAGCAGGTGTCCCGAGAAAGAGACATTCAAAAAAGGGGCGATAGATTTTCCTGTATTTGATACTTGCGGGAAATCATCTCGTTAAAACAGCTTGATTGGTGAGGATTATGTCGAATTTTGGCTCTGTCTGTCAGCACAGCAGTTTCCTGGGGCGAATTTCAAGTACAAGCTTCCAGATGCATTCGAAAATATTTATAGAGATACATCGTCTAATAACCAAGGTGGTGACAAAGTTGATGGTATGCACTACGATTTAAAGCTTGATACAAAGTTAACAAGTGAGCTGAAAGTCCGATCAACCTAGTCCTCATTACCAGAGATCGCAAGTTTAAGAGTAAAGGATATGACGATTGTAATCGTCATCACATGAACATGAGATCTGAGCGGAGGATGTACTTGGTGCCGTTGCGGACCAGCGAACCCTCGTGAAGAAGGCATTCATTTCCGTGGCTAGTCAGCCAGTGTTAGTCTGCGGTCAAGAAACAAGGTCCAGCATCACTGACCGATGGAGAAGAACAGTTCCACGCGTTAGAGGTGCTGTAATAATTTCGCGTGCTTTCCCCCGCTCATCCTTGTAGAATAGTGTCTTGCATACATCAATCAGTCTTGTAACTCATAATCATAGTCACCGGTTAGTACCTCACCGCCTTCAACTCCATCCTCGATTCCGGTTAGGTAAACAAGTACTGTCCATTCAGATTTTGCTTGCGTCTCTGGATCACGGACAGAATCGTCATAGTGAGGACCAAAGTACTGGGATGGTGTGTATTTGTACATGCGAATATTTGAGTTGCATGAGTGAGGTGAGCGCTTTTCGCCAAGGGGAGGGCGCCGCCTGACCAAAGTCGGAGGAGGGAAAGATGGGAGATGTGGCAACAAAAGGGAATGCAACTTCTGAGCAAATGAAATAGACGTCACGGAAGAGCGAACTAGAATTAGGAGCGCGGGTGAGTACCGACTCATGTATGCAAACTACTGATGTAAATACTTACAATTGACCCTCTCAGCCTCCCCTTTCTTCTTGGGAGGTGTTAACTCCAACGGAAGTGTGTCGATAAACTTCACAAAACGTTTACATTCTTCAACAGAGAGAAAATCCTGTCTGTGATTCAAAATGTATGATCATTAATGCAGTACAGAAATGGAACGAACATCGATAAGGATGATCTGGTCTTCCAGCAGTACGCGACATTCGAGAGCTTCTTTCTGCAAGATGTCTGGAAACGTAAGAGCTAGCGACACCGCAGACTTGTGTGGTGTTTGGACAATATCCTTTGATGCTTTCGATTTCTTTGGCATGTCCGGATCCAGAACATATCAGAGGACTTTGAAGGGAGACAAGGCAACCGAACCGCACTGGTCAAATTGGTTAAGGTGACGACCACAAAACATGCCCCATGGCTGAGTTGGTTACAGCGTCCGACTGTTATGTAATGGCATCGGAAGGTCGTGAGTTCGAGCCTCACTGGGGCAGTACTTTTTGCCTATCTTCAAAGCTTTTATTTGTTGAAATTTGTCACATGATATTTTTGAAGTTTAAACCTGGTTGCGCTCGAACTCGATGAATGCAACAGACTAGACCTTTACCCGACTGTCATCCTGAGCTATCTGTCATAGCATGGCCTAATTTTCGGGAATATCGCGTCGAGAACTGGCGACTTGCTCGGGATGGAAGCGGGAATATCATTCGCGGTGCGACATCATGGGGGTGGATCGACCTTTGTCTGCCCGTGGTCATCTCATTCATATGGCCAAGAGTCAGTATCCTCCTTGAAGTCGTTCAGCTTGAAAGCTAACAGTCTCCAAATTTTGTAGCTTCGTGACAGCAATACATGGTGTGCATTTGTTGTTCTGGTAGTTGGGTTTACCATATACTGCCGTTGTGCCCAAGTTCTTCATGGTATATTCAAAAAAGTTCTGTCTGTGCATTGCTCATTTTTGGAATAGAATCTGTACTAGTATTTCCAGCCTACGGTATACAACTCGAGACGCATCGAGGATACCCTTTGCTAAAACCGCTCTTCGTGTCCAGGCGATTTATTCACGCATCCATGTTGGAAGACTTCGTCATAAATGAAGGTTTAAGAAGATGGAACGTCCGCTATTATCTGGCTGCCGTGCACGGATCCACTACGGAAAAGATTGCTGTAGATGTCGCATTTGAGGTCAGCGATCTGCTTACTATCGTTTCCTTCCCTAGTCTGATTTTGCCTTGATTCAGAATATTTTGCCATATTTTCCTGTACTCCTTGAAGTATATAAAGGAGTGCAAGAGCTCATGTTCTACAACTCCACGGACAATAGGCATACCTGCATCTAATATACCATTAATCAAGAGGAATTCTTTCTCTCATGCAGCATTCTGGGTCTATTTTCCATAGTTTATGGCATTAGCTGACCAGCAGGAACAATTTTAAGGACATCTACTCCCTACTCCCTTCCTCACTCTCGTATGCGCTTAGAATGTCATCGTAGCCTTCATCATCCCCTTCCTCTGCAGCGCTATCTCTAGTTTCTCGCTCCTCATAGAAGGAAGATCTACTATGCCGAGCAACCGATTCTCCCAAAATTTTCTGTGAACGCCCTACCGTATCCCCGGACGTCTTCCGCCTAGGACGTGGGGAATGCGAAGAAAAATTTGGGGATGGTGATATGGGGTCCCTTGCACCAAATTCAGGACCACGAGGTGTCATGGCTATCTCTTGCTCCTCGAGCCACTCTGGAGGGGCGAGCGAATTTGGGCTCACGTTCTTGTGCTCAGCCACAGACGTAGGCCGAAGGTTGGTGTCCCGAGTCCGCAGGTTGGGTAGTTTTGGAAGGTGACGCTTCGAGCGCACATGGGGGTTCCTGGAGGGCGTCCAGTCCTGCGAATCAGAATTGTCTGTATCTTGTCGTAGAGGTGGTGGCGTCTTCTTTCGTAGTGAAACCTTGCTTGGTGTGGGCGGCCTTAGAGGTATGCTATCTTCGCTAAAGGAGCTTTCCTGACTTTCACTAGTCACCCGTACCTTCCCCGCTTCGATATGAATTGTCGTGATAGGTGTTGGAGGAATGGGCGGAGATGACACTGTTGTGGGTGAATCAGCGGGAGCATTTGCACGCCACCCCCTGTCAGACGAGCTGTCTTCAGCGGCGGACCTAGCATAGGTTGTAATTGATGGATCGCACGTCGTTGCATCAGATGCGCTTAAAGGAGAAGTTGCCCAAGGAACTCGCAGCGCGCGGGATGCGGGTGCCATTGGCGATATTGACTTGCGATTTAGTGCCACTCTCCGACTTCTGCCATCAGATTCCATGTCAGAGCCTACGCTTGGTTTCGAGTGTGGTCCACTGAGGGCATCAGAAGGTGACAGCGATGAAACCGAAGACACCGAGTCAGTGCGGAGTCCATGTCCTTTGCTGCGGGTGACACCCATCCACTCGTCACGCCGTTTAATTGGCATTCCGCCATCTGAGTGTGCGGCTGATGGAGGTCTCGCGGTAATCAAAGAGCTTGAATTTAGAAGAAGAGGACGTGGCGGGCCCCTGGAAGATTGTTGTGGGGCTGATGTACGTGAGGTTGCGGTGCGCGATTGTAAAGCAGCCAAGGATACCAGAGAAGCCTGCGCCTTGTGTATGAAGTTATCTTCCTGGTGAGGCCTGACTTCTGGGCTTGGAGGGGCGGTGTAAGTTCCTTCTCTGCGCGGCATTGGCAAAAAGCTGTCTCGTGGCGATCGAAAGAATGCGGGGCGAGGAGGTTGATCGAAAGTAGTCCCTCGACTGCTACCAGGAAGCGAGCTTCCTGCACTCTCATCTCTAGAACGGCTAGCACCATCTCTCAGCGGTGACCACTTGTCCGGAGCTGAGGGTGGTAACTCAGATTTCGCGCTCAGTGGTGATGATACATCTCCATTCGATGCCGAGCTATTGCGTCGACTGCTCCATGCATCCATCGCTCGGGCGCGCCAATTTGTGCTTACTTTTGCGAAAGCCGCAACGGTATCAGAGTCCTTGAGTTTGCCAGCATAACCCCAAATACTTGCAGGCTGTGAGCTTACATGTGTGTTTGAGGTGATTTGGTCTAGGGGGCTCTGGGGGAGATGAGGGAGCGATGGTGACTGTGGTTTTAAGGGGGAATTGGGAGATGGTGGAGATGGTGGATCTTCCATAGAGCTTTGGTTGGTAATCCCTCTCCAAACCGTATTGGCAAGACGTGAAGTCAGAGTTGGAGCAGCCGGAGTTTCTGTGTCATTGCCGTCTTCGTGGGAGCTCTCTTCATCCGAACTCGAGTCTTCCTCTTCCTCCTCTTCCTCCTCTTCCTCCTCTTCCCCGTCATCATCATTAGCGACTTGGTTTGTAAACCCCTTCCACATGGTGGCTTTGATCCGAGCACTGAGGGTAACATTATCTGACTTCAAAAGTCTATTGTCTTCAATGCGCTTTTGAGCCAAATCGTGTGCAGTTTGCAAGACCCGGTCGATACCACCAGCCGCATCAATCGGATAGGATTGCAAAAGAGCAATGCCCTCGAGGAAAGCATCGCTGAGCTCCCATGGTCGAAGCGGAGAAGAAGGACGAATGGTAGCGTGCTCTTCAGCCCACAGTCCCGGTGACTTACCTCCAGGCTTTGCAAGTCTAGAAGGATTCAATATAATCGTCAGTTCATATGATTAATTGACCGACCTAAAAAGCGGCGCGCGCGCACGGATAAGGAGACTTGTGCAGATATCAACGAGGGCGTCGAGTTTATGGTTTTCATCTCGAGTTCTCATTGGGTACGAGAAAAGCACATCCCATACGGGCAGGAGGGAGGTGAGAGGAAGTGTTTGCGATAAAAGAGGTGCAAGCCAACGACTGCGAGCTTGCGTTAGTCATGAAACGTCAGATAAGAAAGCGTATCATACTAAGAGTAATGTGGAAGCATAGGATCCAAGCCTTTGGTATGCTGTTACATCTAAAGTTGGTAAGAGTCTATGATTCGCTAAGAAGAGCACATACCAAACTCGCAGCAAGTTCTCCGTCAGCTTGTGCCAATCGATCGCTGAATTTCTTCATCCAAACTTTACCACCTTCCTGATCTGCCAGTTCAGAAAACTCCCCGACGAGAGCTTCGAATAACCAGAATGTATCTGCTTCAGCGTGGGCTAAATCTTCCGGGTCCACCTCCCTGACAAGAACAGCGTACAACGGTACAAGTAAGGAAGGAATGTCTGGAGATTGGTTTGCTGGATTTATGCATGAATGCAGATATAGCAGACGGAGGAGGGCTGACATGTGCTGTGGATGTGCGCTGGAACCACCGAACGGTCCAGCATGTAACAATGTGGTGGGTGCCCCTGGTCTACGGGATGCAATGGAACCCAAGCTCGGTAATTGTGACAGCTCGAGTGGTTCAACGTCAGGCTCTAGGCGAATCTCAGGAATACCTGCGGGTTCTGATGCGGAAATTTGTCCGCGGAGAACCTGCAGTCGTGCGTCAAGAAGATGAACGCACCCAATCCTCTCTGTCTCATCAGCATTTTCATCTAATGGAGACAAAATTGAACAATTTGGGCCACTATCAAGCGTGTCGAAGAGTCCAGGGGGAAGACGAAATAGAGATTCGGATATTTTCATTAGCGTCGTATCTGTGTTGCTCAACGGCTTCGTGGGTGTTGGCATGTTATTAAATGGTGATAACAAACGGCGAACGAGATCCTAGTCAATGTATCAGCTTGTGTTCCTAGACATGAGCGGCACGTACATAGTAGCTGTCTCGTTGTTTCCGATTTTCTTTTTGCCATGTTGACTTCAAGACCGGAACTGTTCCCAGTAAAAGTCTAGATTGTAAGTTAGGTCAGTCAGAGGCTCAGTCGTATCGGCTTTCACGTACTTCCATACCCTAGGCCTAAGCCATGGAGGTTCGTCGGGTAACCCTGGTGATTCGCATTCGATATTACTTCAGGACGATTTTTAGTTTCTTACCTTGCGAACATAGCCTCCGCAGACGGGGTAGGTCAACAATAGGTGAACCTTGCGGATCCAAAATTTCAGAGATCATATTCAAGCTAACTCGGACGTTCAGCTCGTCTCACAAAGGACCAGAAAATACGCACATATCCTGCCGGGGAGGTTCTGCAGCCCAGTTTACATGATACACTTTTGATACATTTGTCAGGCAGTCATTTATCTGGGACGCAGATGGGTTTGGGGAGTGTAGCAATTGCATGACCTAATAAGGTGTCAGTAACCCAGGCACAGACTCAAACCGAAGAGACACTTGCACGCAAAGGAACGTGGTTTTCAAAACTATTGGGTGAACTAGAAAAATGATGATGCATGCGCTGAATTAACATATCACAAACGACGTTAAGTTCTGTTTGATTCCGTGAGTAGAATCGATCACACGAAGCAATCTTCTTTCACTCTCACCCTTAATATTAACATTGGGAGCTGCAGCTATGATGGAGGCTGCAGCCTCTGTAAGAACAGGGCTCGGTGAACGCCTAATAAATGGTTGCTGCGATCAGCTGTAGCGCAATTTTATGAAAGGTTTGGAAACACACCCTTCGTCCAACTCGCCAAGATGCTCAATGACCATGCTGACGTGCATTTCCACCACTTCCAATAAGTCGCCCTTTGTATCATCTTGTATGAGATTCTGTGTCTTGGCGCGTGCAAGGGCAGTATTATTCTGTTGCAATAACGTTGCAATATCACGTCGGGTGATTTGCGCTTGAGAGTCTATTCTCTCTTGAATTTGACCAAGACGCTGCGATGTCGACCGTAGTAAAGCCTGCAGGGAATATAAACTTATTATGGATGTGTGGTAAGGATAAAGACGACACTTACTTTAGTCGCAATTGGGTCCCAGTTCGTCATGTTCGTCACGTCAGTCACTCAAAAGCGTATGAAAGTTTGAGTGAGACGGTAGCCTAGTGCTGCGCCTGGTTCAAACGTCGGCGACGGTGAACGTTGGCGACAATATTTGGTTAATCGTGCTTTGCACTGCCAGTACAGTTGGATCTTTAAATAGATCTTGTTGGGTTTTGCCAAGTTTACGGTATCAAATTGATTGATCGATTATTATATAAATCTAAATGGACTACAATAACAGTTACATACACCAAGGTGGTAGGGGTTTTGACAATCGTCCCGACCTGCGAGCGTTACTTTCAATCTGTACAGGATCAGCGAATGATGGCGCGAGAGATAGGTGTCGCTGAGGAGACTGCGAATTCCGTTTATCGAGTGCTACTGGTTGAGGATGCGAATCACGAGAGGCACGATATGGCATGGGACTAATCGTGAGCGGAGATGTAATACTTGCCTCCAGACGTGAGAAAGAGTCAGATGACGAAGTGCGAAGGGGTGGCATCGAAACCCGAACGCCGAGAACAGGGGGAGAAGCTATGGCCATTTCTGGGTCTACCGCGAGAGGTGACCCTACATTTCCAAAGACTTCTTTGCGCGACTCAACCGCCACGGGTATCCTTGATTGGCGGTAAACCATGGCAGCAAAGAAGCTAGCATATGAGATCACTACTCAGGCTGTAAGCGGTTGTGTCAATGAAAAATTACTTGCAACTGACATATGACAGGAACTATCCAACAGCCCACAAGCATGTAGAGGTTGATCAACTTGCAGACACCTTGCTGGTCGGCTGCTGAAGTCAAATTAGAGCGCTGCATAAAACGAGGTATCTGTATCAGAAGTACTTTGATCTGGGCACTGTATTTGAGGATTCCAGTGAGTGAAAGCGGCAGCAGATCCTAGAAACAAATCATGAAGGGGTGTCAAATAACCGCTTACAGGTGCCTCACCTATCTGTCCTATTGCAAGTAACAATAGTCGAGCGGCATCTAACCACACCCGAAACTTCAATAGTAGTCTACAACGCAGGACTTGTTAAGCACGCTAGTGTGGCAGTGTAAAAAGACCTACAGGAAAGGTAAAACGAGGATCGTTGCTGCGTTGGTCAAGAGGAAGACAACGGTTAACGACCCTGATTAAGAGTCCAATCTTCAGCAGACATTCAGCGCGATGACTGTGACTGGATAGCTCACGACTGCAGCGGTCAGATATGTCCCAGCGGGCGTAAACTTGGACTGAAAGAAGTACAGTCCACAGAAAGCTAATGAGGATGACGCAGGCTAGTCAGAGTTGTGATTAGACATTTACAGAAATATAGATGAAATGAAACGGACTGAAAGTTATAGCCCGAATCTTGAAGAATACAGGAAAAGATTCCATGATAATGTATGCAATGATTGTCGTCGTATCCGTCGTCCCTTTGTCTGATGAAATAATGTAAAATATGAAATAGTAGAGAATGTCAAGAATAGACGAGAACACCTCCAGAGGTGGCTCGAGGGTGGGTGGTTGGAAGGCGCGGGAGCAGGCAATTAGCTACATGCATCGCAGAATATAAGGAAGACTGTAAACAAAAAGCTGTGAGACTTAGGAAGAAGCTTGTGGACGCGAGGAAGTTGATTCGTTTGATCAAGTCAGTTTCTTTTGTTCCTTACGTGTGTTGTTCCCTATTTGTACAAGGTTTGTCGTTACACATCTTGTATTGGTGCAGGGTCATGCAGCCTGCCGGAATGTTCCGGCACCAGGAGTCCAGCTGAGCGGCTGCGCTGTCCCTTCCCTTACAGAATTTTTCACTTACCTTCGCCATCGAGCTCGTCGTATTCCACACCTCCTCACTTGCTCCTTAGAATTTTATCTAACCCACCCACCTGTGACCTCGCCCTTTACATTTGTTTAATAACCAAATTATTGCACCATAGTTACTCCTTCGTCGTACCTTCTCAAATATTATCAGAATCATTCATCATACATTACATCGAGTACCTAGTTCATATGAAGTCATTGTCATGTTCAATGTGAGCAGGTTTCCCCCCTCCTGAGCGGCTCCACCTGCTCGTGTACCACCTGTAGGGAGCTAGACATGAAGTAAGTCTCAGCAAATGTGAAAGCAACACTGTATTTGATATCTACCTAGACACAAAGTAAGTCTAGGTAATACATCAACAAACTAAGTATGAGTGACAATGAGAACAAGCATACCTCAGCGAATGTGAAAGCAACGCTGAGGTGAACTGCGGTACGAGGTGGGATATAAGTACCAGGTGTCAAGAAGTCTGAGGCGGAAAGAAGCAGTATGAGCTATAGCAACAACAGTGAGGACTGCCCAAGGTGTTGAAGGTGCAAAAAGGTAATAAGAGTCCAAAAGGAAAAAGAAAACTCAAAAGTTAGACCAGAGGCAAATCCTCCAGGTTTCATATCATGTGGAGAAACTGGAGGAAAATCTACCCGACATCTCTTATTCCCAACACCCCCTCACTGAGACACCAAATGAAGGCCTGGCAGATGCTTCTCGAAGAGAGGACAAGGTAGGGCCTTTGTAAAAATGTCTGCGGTGTTCTTGTGCGAGGGGAGCCACTTGAGTAGGAACATACTATTCTCAATGTGCTCCCTGATAAAGTGGTAATGGATGTTGATATGCTTAGAGCAGATGTGATTGCGCACTTCGGTCGACAGGGAGATGGCGCCTGTATTGTCCATGTGAATGAGGATGGGAAGGGGAAGTGGAATGTGCAGTGCAAAGATGAGCGATTTGATCCAGAGACCCTCCTGGATGACATGTGTAACAGCCATGTATTCGGCCTTGGTTGAGGAAAGGGCATGAGTGGTTTATTTCTTCGAAACATGGGCAATGACTCCCCCCACATAGAACCAGACGTAGCCCGAAATTGACAGGCAGTCAGTGGGAGAGCTGGCCCAATCAGCATCGCAATATGCAAAGAGGCTGACATTTGCATAGGCACCCCCATAGTGCAAGCGGAGATTGATGGTGCCTGAAAGGTAACACAGGAGGCATTTAGCTGCCACATAGTGAGCAGGAAGGGGCTTGGCATTGTGTTGTGCCAGAGAGTTGACTGCAAATGAGATATCTGGACGGGTACAGATTGCGAGGTAGAGGAGTTTGCCAACAAGTTTGCAAAAGAGCATAGGGAGGGTGGACATTGTGGTGTGAACATTGTCAGGGCTGCCAAATGGGTGATGCGGGTCGAGCGGTGTCTTCTTAGATAGATGATCTATAGATGAACACCTACAAAATCAAATATCTCCATGGTCAGTGATTCAGACAAATACCAATGACTGATAACGTGGTCGTTCGTGGGTGGCCTGTCAGTATATCCAAGCTATGGTCAGACAAAGGTACTCTACAATATCAGTATAGAAACACTAGTCAACCCAGCGGTATGGTGTTGACTAAAAGAAACAAAGAAACAGAAAAAAAAGAACCAAGACTAAGCACAATCACTGGTGCTAAACAGAAATGAGAACTAAGACTAGGCACAATCAATGGTGCTATATTCTAAACTTACTATGAAACAATCGTGCAAAGCTGTATTGGTCACTCCCACAGCACAAACAGGTAGGATCAAAGGTCAAGACTTGTCAAAAGCTTCCGTAGAACTCTTAGCCTAATATTGAATCTGCTGCCAAGGAACTCACAATGAGTATTAAACAGAATCAGAAACAGTGTAAAGAGTAGATCCAGTCTGGGCTCCACTGAATGTGAGTCCCTAGTCCTGAGGGATGCGAGTATGCTTCGTCCCAAGAGACAACCTAAAAACTACCTTGATAATGCAAGGGAAGTCTTACACAGTTAGAGAGTAGACAATATATTGGAAGAAAACCTCTTCAATGCTCGTCCGTAGTTCTGAGACTACTTCCGAAGTACTGAGAAACTTGTCCGATGCGACCAAAGGTCGTCCGAGGCTGCGAAAGTGTTGTCCGAAGTAGCGCGATGCCTTCCGAGGCTTGCGAAAGCTGTCCGAAGGTCTATATATGTCGGTGTGTCAAATAACAGTATAAGACTTTTGCCAACGTCCGAAGTCCGGAACAATGCTAATCTATCAGGGCTCAAGAATAAACGAAGTGCGAACTTGGCAGTGGTTTAGCCAGACAATCGTTCCGAATGAACTAGGATCAATTGCGCAGTTTACGATTATACCGAGGTGACTCTACTAATTACTACTCGAAGTACAGGAAGTAAAGTGCCCTATCAGTAGCCAGCGAGCGAGATTATATCCTACTTCCGTGAGAGGCCGGAATCCGTAGGCGAAACTAGTAGCGAGATAAGCAAGTCCGAACCTATGTAATAAGCCGCAATGCATGCTGCTTATATGTATTCCGAGGCTCCCGACAGGATGCCGATGGGATTGTTATCCATGTAGTACTAAGACATAGTCAACATATAGTCAGAATAAAGGAAAACGCACCAGCGAAGTCAAAAGGATGAGGATAGGACATGGTATGGTAACTTGCGAGGTTCGGACGGGTCTCAGAACACGAAAAACTGCCTGCGGAAGGTTCGGACAAGTGCGCGTGGCCTTCGGAAGGTCAAGGGAGGTCGGGGAATGGTATAAATGTAGGTATTGGATTGCCTGGTTTCAAGCCCAGCGCCGCGGCCATCGTTACAATGGACGTCCTTGGATTTCAATACCAAGTCCCCTATTCAATAGCTAAAGCCTATCTGACAAATAACAATCCTGGCTCAGTATACTACTCAGATGTGTGAGGTCAAGCAGACAATAATCAACTTCTGAAGTCTCCCAACTAAGCTACTGTGAGCCTTTAGCAGACGTAGAGACAACACAAAGAATCAGAGATAAGGCTCAAATGTATTCGCTACAATCAAGAGTACATTAGTATCAGCAGCAAGAAACAAACACAGAATATATTCGCTAAAATCTATAACATGTTAGTGACATGACAATAAACGAGCACTCAGACTGTTAGCTTTCAATGGGTAGAGAGAGTGAAACAGATAGAGTGAAACAGATCCCAAGCTAAAGAAATAGATAGAGTGAAACAGAACCCAGACTAGTGAAACAGAGATAAGGAAATAGATCCCAAACTAAAAGAAATAGATCCCAGACAAAAAGAAATAGATCCCAATCCTAGAGAAACAGAGATAAGGAAATAGATCCCAGACTAGAGTGAAATAGATCCCAAGCTTAAAAGAAATAGATCCCAATCTTAAAAGAAATAGATCCCAATCCTAGAGAAACAGAGATAGAGAGATAGAAACAAAGACACGTGCACACAAACACAAACACTCAGAAAAACAAGAGACTTCTCAAAACAAATAACTAGGCCTTGCAGGTTGTTGAGCACAGTGAGCTCAATGGCTCCTACTGTCTCATCAATGTACCTGGCAATGTCGAACAACTCTTCGTGGTTGTTGCTGATGCTGATCACACACAAACCTCACTCGCAATTTTATTAAGGGTGACTCTGGGAGTCAGATTGATTTTTTTCAGGTCAAAATGGAGGTCCTTATATAGACAAATCTACGCGGCTGTGCTAATTTACTCCCATGTACCTAGGTATATTCAATTTTTGTTTTCTCATGTATCTAGATATACTACATTATTTGTCATAGATCATAATACCCGTGTGAATCGTACGTAGGTGAACATGATTTGTCAGGCTTAGTCAAAGATCAGCTGATTGTGGTAAGAGAACATGGTTTACATAATATGTTGAAACTTGTTTGTATTTGGTGTTATTTAGAGACGTAGCATATGTCATAAAGCAAAACCAGGTAACACATGTATTTAAAGTTTCCTGGAAGTTCCCGCAAACAAACATACACGGAAAGTATTTTTCATGGAAGCTTCAGATGTGTGAGAATCTAGCTGAGTCATCTTCGAGCCAAATAACACAAAATTCATTCCATGCAAAATTCCCGAAAAATATTCACTAACACCGCACGGTCATGCACTGGACCAGTTTGGTGCAGGTCAGCGGGAGATGGACAGGGTTACAATCTAGCATGTCATACTCCTCAAGTAGATAGGTGATGTACTCGCCTTGGTGTAACCACAAGTCATGACTGTCCTGTTTGCGCTCGAATTGAATACCGATGAATTTGGAGATGGGGCCCATGTCCTTGATGCCAAAATGTTGGTGAACTTTTTGCTTGACCCAAGTCAAGAAAGCAGGCAAGTTCGACATCCCCAGCCCATTGTCAACATGGAAACTGATGATGCAAATGATGCAAGTGCTGGATGCGCTGCTGTCGAATAGGAATATGGCATAATCAACAGCACAGCGAGAAAACCCCAACTCCCCCATGACTTGTCACACCTGCTCGTACCACTCCATCGCAGACTGTTTCAACCCATAAATTGTGCAAAGCATCCACCACACCTGCACCCTCCAGTCTCCTTCCTCGAAACCTTTAGGCTGACACATATATATTTCTTCTTTCAGCACCCCCCAGAGAAACACCTGAGTAGCATTGAACAAGTGGAGTTCCCAATGATTCTTGCAGGCGAGGGCAGTGATGATGCATAATGACACGGTTTTGAGCACAGGGGCGAAAGTAGCGCTGAAATCTACTCCTGGAATTTGTGAGAACCCTTGAGTGACAAGATGTGTCTTGTAGATTGATCCTC